TATATATATAGTGTTTTATATAGTGTGGGCAAGCGCTAACTATGCTGGTTGTCAGCCAAGAAGCCAGCATAAGTTGATTGCAAATGCCCGGCAGAACGATTTTTAACGAGCATTCAATGCGTGTGTGTGTGTGCGTGTGTGTTCGTACATCTATCATCATTTCTGCCATGTACAAACATATTTATGTATGTATGTCAGTTTGGGTGTGTATATGTATGTGCGTGTGTGCGTGTGTGTGTTTGTGTGTGGATATATACATAAGCTAAAGCTAATTCTCCTGGCCAGGCCATTAAAGTTCGATAATGTGCGACGCGTCGTCCGTGTCGTTGACTGCCCGAGTCTGATGATGTCACAGTGAACCTTGGCGTGTCGCGACTGTTTGTACATTTTATTTGTTCTACTTTAGCTTTTTTTCGCTTTTGTTTTCACGCAGCACAGAGCACCCGCAGCAGCCGCACTGTGTTGCTTATTGCAGTTTTCTTTCCAATTAAATCATATGAAAAACTAAATAAAAAAGAAAAACAAAATCAAAAGCAAAAACAAAAAAACATTAATCACGCTCATTATCTGTTAGCGTTGACAAATTCATTTGGTCACAGTCAATATATGTATGCATATACATATTCATATACTTTAATATGTATCACTCTGATAAAGAGGAAATTTATCAGTTAATGTGATTAATCGACTTTGTCAACTTTCTAATATTATGCCAGTTAATAAGACAGAAAGTTACAAAAACCGAATAATTAATGATTAGATTAGAATAAAAAATAAAAAAACAAGGAAAACAAATATATTTGCATGCAAGTACATGATATAGTTATTTATATATTTTAATATATAATGAAATATAAAAATTAAAATATATATGTATTGTAAATATATATGTATGTATATTCACAATTCATTTCAAGCACATTTTTTTTTTAAATATTCAACATAAGTTGCTTTTATTAAAAAAAATATATATTTTCGTTCGTTGTAGAAACCTTTTTGTCTCGATCAATGTCTGAAAATCTTACCTATATATTTATATATATTGAATTAATTCCCTACAACACACAATAAATGGAATAATTTAATAAGAGCTCAATTCTGAGAACAGAAACTCATTTAGTTAACTATTCACATATGGGCCTGAGTTATGATCGAAGCGATTTAGCCTGGCCAACGTAATGGTAGGAATTGTAGCCATTCCGCCAGTGCCTGTCAATGTATAGAAGTAATTACCGCTGAATACATTCTGCATAAATAATAAGCAGAAACAAATGAAAGGAAAAATCAAAATACTAGTATGCAAAGCAAATACAAAATCCGTACGCTATACGAAACAGAGCCAATAAAAGTTTTCTCGACGCTTTTGGGTACGTTCTAATGGCTGGCCAGGCGCATGCAGCATATGTTCATGGGTACAGTGAACCCGCTAATAACGAACTGTGGCAGTGAAATGTGAAATTATCCAAAAATTAAATATGTGGTATTTTGATTTATGATTCGAATCATAAAACTGATTATTTTTTATTTTTATTTCTTTTTTTTCATTTTGAATATAAATTGATCTGTCAAAAATGTTGAAAAATGTATTTGCAAGTAAGATTCTTAAAGGCAGTTGATTAAATTTCTGTTTATTAACCTGATGAAAGTAAATTCATATATGTTTACATTGCAATGCATGGTATATATGTATGTATGGTATAAAGAGTAAATATGATATAGATATGTATATAAAGAAATATCACATGCACGATCAACTGATATTTTGGATTTGGTTAAAAAACTTTAAGGAATGCAAATTTTGGATTAAAGTAAACCCTATATAGACTATCTATTATATACGTACCTATATGCACTATCCATTATATAATGATATGATCCTAACTTACGAGTAAATAGTAAACAAATGTGAAAACATTGTTAGTTCATTCAATTGAGTTTCACCAGTTTGTCGTATCGTATAGGTTAGACAAAAGAAGCCATTGGCTGTGGCTGTCATCATGGYTAGGCCAAAACAAAAATACAAATACAAATACAAAGAAACACAATTCAAATCATTTGCCAAACGGCGACGTCTTCGTCTGGCTGTTGATTTTTGTTTTTCCCATTTGAATTTTAATTGCATGTCTGTGGAATGCTTCAACCAACCTGCCTCCCCTCTTATCTTGTCACTCTATCTCACTCACACACTCACTCACTCTCTGTCTCTCTCGTTCTGTTTTGCTCTTGCAGGGAACGTAAAGCGTCGCCAAGATGGGGGATATGTTCCGCAGTGAACAAATGGCACTATGCCAGATGTTTATACAACCAGAGGCCGCATACACCTCCGTCTCGGAGCTGGGCGAAACCGGCTGTGTGCAGTTTCGCGACGTAAGTGAGACGCACGATTCGTACGAAAGTCAAATCTAATCCCCTCTTGACATTCCACAGTTGAACTGCACGGTGAACGTCTTCCAACGCAAGTTCGTGACGGAGGTGCGTCGTTGCGATGAGCTGGAGCGAAAGATACGCTACATCGAAACGGAGATTAAGAAGGACGGCATTGCGTTGCCCGATATCCAGGATGATATTCCGCGGGCGCCCAATCCACGTGAGATCATTGATTTGGAGGCGCATCTGGAGAAGACCGAGACGGAGATGATTGAGCTGGCCCAGAACGAGGTCAACATGAAGTCCAACTATTTGGAGCTGACGGAACTGCGCAAGGTGCTGGAGAATACCCAGGGTTTCTTCTCCGACCAGGAGGTGCTCAATCTGGACACGAGCAATCGTGGCGGCGCCGGTGGCGATGACGCAGTCGCCCAGCATCGTGGTCGTCTTGGATTCGTGGCGGGCGTCATCAATCGTGAGCGCGTCTTTGGCTTCGAGCGCATGCTGTGGCGCATCTCGCGTGGCAATGTGTTCCTTAAGCGTTCCGACTTGGACGAACCACTGAATGATCCAGCCACCGGTCATCCCATCTTCAAGACCGTCTTTGTGGCCTTCTTCCAGGGCGAGCAGCTGAAGAATCGCATCAAGAAGGTGTGCACCGGCTTCCATGCCTCGCTGTATCCCTGTCCCAGCTCGCACATTGAGCGCGAGGAGATGGTCAAGAATGTGCGTACTCGCCTCGAGGATCTGAAGCTGGTGCTCAGCCAGACCGAGGATCATCGCAGCCGTGTGCTCGCAACGGTCTCCAAGAATCTGCCCTCGTGGTCGATCATGGTCAAGAAGATGAAGGCCATATATCATACGCTCAATCTGTTCAACATGGATGTGACCAAGAAGTGCCTCATCGGCGAGTGCTGGGTCCCCACCAAGGACTTGCACGTTGTGCAAAAGGCTCTCTCCGACGGCTCAGCTGCTGTGGGCAGCACCATTCCATCGTTCCTCAACGTCATCGATACGCACGAACAGCCGCCGACTTTCAATCGCACCAACAAATTCACGCGCGGCTTCCAGAACCTGATCGATGCCTATGGCATCGCCTCGTATCGTGAGTGCAATCCGGCTCTGTACACTTGCATTACATTCCCCTTCCTATTCGCTGTGATGTTTGGCGATTTGGGACACGGCTTGATCCTGTTGCTCTTCGGCGCCTGGATGGTGCTCAGCGAGAATAAGCTGAGCCGCATTAAGGGCGGCGGCGAAATCTGGAACATCTTCTTTGGCGGTCGCTACATCATTCTGCTCATGGGTCTATTCTCGTGCTACACGGGCATCATCTACAACGACATATTCTCGAAGTCTATGAATTTGTTCGGTACCAATTGGGTGAACAACTACAACACGTCGACGGTCCTGTCCAACAAGCATCTACAGATGTCGCCAAACATTTCCGCTCAGGGCGTCTATCCTCTGGGCCTGGATCCCATTTGGCAGCTCGCTGATAACAAGATCATCTTTCTCAACAGCTTTAAGATGAAGCTGTCCATCATCATCGGCGTACTGCACATGATCTTTGGCGTTTGCATGTCCGTCTTCAACTTTGTGCACTTCAAGCGCTACTCCTCCATCCTGCTGGAGTTTGTGCCACAAATTTTGTTCCTGATGCTGCTCTTCGGCTACATGTGCTTCATGATGTAAGTCAATATTCGAAACACTGTACTCAATGAATGTGAATATATATATTTGAATCTTTTGCAGGTTCTTCAAGTGGTTCAAGTACAACGGATTCACCAGCAACCAGCCCGAGACACCTGGCTGTGCTCCATCTGTGCTGATCATGTTCATCAACATGATGCTGTTCAAGAACACACCCCCTCTCGCTGGCTGCAAGGAATACATGTTTGAGTCTCAGCCTGAGCTGCAGAAGGCGTTTGTCGTCATTGGCCTCCTTTGCATACCATGGATGCTGCTCGGCAAGCCGCTGTACATCAAAATGACCCGCAGCAGACAGGTCGCACACGTAAGTGGAGCGACGTGAACCCATTGAGATTATTGCTGAGATTTGATTTGGTTTTAGGTCAAGCACAATGGCGAGCTGACTGGCAACATGGAACTGGCCGAGGGCGAGACACCATTGCCCACTGGCTCCACCGGCAATGAGAGCGCTGGCGGTGCGCACGGTCACGATGACGAGCCGATGAGCGAAATCTACATTCATCAAGCCATTCACACAATCGAATATGTGCTCAGCACCATCTCGCATACGGCTTCCTATCTGCGTCTCTGGGCTCTGTCCTTGGCTCATGCTCGTAAGTGCCGGACGAACCTTCAGCAGCCATTGTGTATTAATGGTAATCTGATTTCCCTCTAGAACTCTCTGAGGTGCTGTGGAACATGGTGCTGTCGATGGGTCTGAAAATGCCACCCTATACCGGTGCCATTGGCCTGTTCATCATCTTCGGCGCCTGGTGTTTGTTCACTTTGGCCATCCTGGTCATGATGGAGGGCCTGTCTGCTTTCCTGCATACCCTGCGTCTGCACTGGGTGGAGTTCATGAGCAAATTCTACGAAGGCTTGGGCTATGCCTTCCAGCCCTTCAGCTTCAAGGCAATCATTGATGGCGAAGAGGAGGAGTAATCGCGCCACAGCAATAGCCACAACTATATGAATATCATATATATCTACTTATATATGCATATATATTATTTTGTTTTGTTTGATATCTTTCGTTTTCTCAATACTGTCAGTATTGTGGTACTCTTCCCACATGTTCCCTCAGTTTCATGTATTCCATCCGTTTTCAAATGTCCTTTGTTATGTATTCTCAATGAAAAAAAAACCGTTTTAAGCAATAATTTGATATTCGTTGTTAAACAAATTAATTAGTGAACAAATCAGTTCGGTTAATGTCTGTTTAAAGTTTATCTTGATGATATTTGTGTGCCTTGCGATATCCTTATTATAAATTTTAATCATTTAGTTAACTAGTTTCATAATAATAAAGCAAGAAGAGAAAAGCAATTCAATTGGTTTTATCTATTACCTAGTGGGTATCAAATCTGAATTTAAATTATTATTAATGTAATCTATGTATATGCATCATGTTTGTATGTACATCGTGCATGTATATGTATATATCTATGTTGTACTATAATGTAGAAGGTACTGAATTCTGGAGGTAGAATAGTCCAATATAAACAGCTGTATGCATATATACATGTATGTGAGTATATGTATATGTAAAAATGAGTATCTGAATCAGGGGTGTCATTTTAGCTTTTTTCCCGTCAGATCTGGCTTTATTTGAAGTCCCAATGCGGGAAAAATTTGAAAACGGCGGGTTGCGGGAATTCTGGCTTTAAAAAAATTAATTTAGCTCTATTTTAGCTTTATTTAATTTTCACGATTTATTTTGCTTTTTATCTTTCTCAACACTAAAAATCATGAATACAAGTATCGATACATGATTTTATATCATACAATCTATCGAAATCATTTCGTGGTATGAGCAACAGGTCTTCTTTGTCAACAAAAAAACACTAACGTGCACGAATTGGATGGGCACAGAAAGAAAAAANATTAAACACCTGATCTCTCTTTAAAAGATTGAATACTTTATAATTTGTATATATGTATATGCATATACATATATCTATAATTTCTACGTTAATGGTTTTAGGTGTCGTTATTAAATACGTCTCTGTTGAGAGTGGAGTGATGATTTCGACGTTCCTGATTTTAATATTGCTCTTGAAAGTGGAGATTCCTTGTCTATAGTTGAAGGAATCAAACAATTAAAAACAAATGAATAATCATAAATGAATTTAATTAAGAAAATAGTGTTTTTTAAACCCAGCTTTTATTTTGGCTTATTTTTTCGTGAATTTAGCTTCTTTTAGCTTCTTTTTTTTGCCAATCTGGCTCTATTTGCTCGAAAAATTATGACAGCACTGATCTGAATGTACGTATATACGATAGATATCTATGTATGTATATCTAAGATTGATTGATAGACTTGGACGTAAGTATATAAATATATAGGATTGATAGGTAAATAGATAATGATAGATAAATAGGTATGTACACATGCAATCTGCGTGCGTGTGAGTAAGATTACATATGTATACATATATACATACATATATACAGTATTAATGTAAAGGCACATGTATATCCATATATGTAAAAGAAAATCGCATGAGTTTCTTACATTACAGATCGTGAACTGCTGGAAGAATTTTTCTGATTTCGATTCTATTGGAATAGGATAATAAATATTACAATCTATAATTTTCGAGGCGAAAGACCGTAACTACATATCTAGTGGGCTTACCTTAAAATTTGTTATATTTCAGGCAGCATATCGATATTGCGATATCAAGTTTATATAGCAACATAGCCGGACTGTTATATGTCTGATACGTAGATTTCCATAAACTTTTCTGATCTTGTCTAGCTACTTCTTAGCAACCTATCAACTTACTATGAACTTCCTTCACTGACAAACGTTTCACAACTAAAAACGAAAAGTGAACTCTATACATATATAAGAGCTCACTGGAAATGTTCTAATTGGTTTCCAATTGGTTTTTAATACCCTGGGCGCATCTACGATATCAACCGTTAGACAGATAAGAGACGAGAACCTTTCGTCCAGTTGATAGATGGCTCATCGAACAGCTCTATTTACCTTGTGTAATACTTTATCCCGAGCATGTGCTCGCCAGATAAGCCTGGAAAGTTGTACATAATTATGTGTCCAGGTCTGTGTGGCCAAGGCTTCAATTGGGAAGTCACTTGACCACGACGATCAGTTCACCTGCCGTCTTTGAAGCGTGCGGAGGTGTCGTTGTCTAAAAGGAATTCGAAATGTGCAGCAAGTTGAAAGGATGGCTGTGCGGCACTGGGCCGCAGGACAGCATATTCCGCAGCGAGAAGATGTCCTTGGGCCAGATGTTTCTGCAGCCAGAGGCGGCCTATGAGACCATCGCGCAGCTGGGCGAGATGGGCTGTGTGCAGTTCCGTGATGTAAGCAAGCAATCTGAGTTTATTCCATTTGAATTGTAATTGAAATGATCCTGCGTCTGCAGATGAACGAGGGCGTCACGGCCACCCAGCGCAAGTTCGTCAACGAGGTTCGGCGCTGCGATGAGCTGGAGCGAAAGATACGCTATGCGACGTCAGAGCTGGCCAAGGATGGCCTGAAGGTGGTCGATCTGATCGAAGACTTTCCGCCCGCGCCCAGGCCGAAGGAGATCATAGAGCTGGAATCGTTGCTGGAGAAGACCGAGACAGAGATCATCGAGCTGTCCACGAACAATGTGCGTTTGCAAACGAACTTCCTGGAGTTGACCGAGATGATTCAAGTGCTGGAGCGCACCGACTCGTTCTTCTCCGACCAGGAGTCGCACAACTTTGATGTGAACAAGCGTGGCACGCACCGGGATCCGGAGCAATGCGACGGCCGCTTGGGCTTTGTGGCGGGCGTAATACGCAGGGAGCGAATGGTGCGGCGGATGTCTTAATGCTCATCTGTGTGATTCTAATTGAAGTGTATAAATCTTTGCAGTACGGCTTTGAGCGGATGCTCTGGCGCATCTCGCGTGGCAATGTCCTGGTGCGCAGCTGCGACATGGAGGAGCCCGTCAAGGATCCCAAGACGGGCGAGATGGTCTGCAAGAGCATCTTTGTTGTCTTCTTTCAGGGCGACCAGCTGCAGGGTCGCATCCGCAAGGTGTGCACCGGCTTCCATGCCACCATGTATCCGTGTCCCAGCTCGCACCAGGAGCGCATGGACATGATTAAGAGCGTGCGTGTCCGGCTCGACGATCTGACGGTCATCATCAGCCAGACAGAGGACCATCGCTCCTGTGTGCTGAAGGCCATCAAGAAGCAGCTGCCCAACTGGACGGTCATGGTCAAGAAAATGAAGGCCATCTACCACACGCTGAACCTGTTCAATGTGGATCTGGGCAGCAAGTGCATGATCGGCGAGTGCTGGGTGCCCCAGCGCGATCTTGAGGAGGTGGAGACGGTGCTGTCGGAGGCGTCGCTGGCCCTGGGCAGCACAGTGCCCACGATATTCAACATACTCGAGACGAAGAAGGAGCCGCCCACGTACTTCCGCACCAACAAGTTCACCTACGGCTTCCAGGTGCTCATCGATGCCTACGGCGTGGCGGAGTATCGTGAGGTGAATCCGGGTCTGTACACGTGCATCACCTTCCCCTTTTTGTTCGCCGTCATGTTCGGCGACATGGGCCACGGATTCCTGGTCTTTCTGCTTGGCCTGTGGATGGTGCTGGACGAGAAGCGCCTCATCAAGAAGCGCGCTGGCGAGATTTGGAGGATTCTGTTCGGCGGCCGGTATATCATAATGCTGATGGGCATGTTTGCCGTTTACACGGGCTTCATGTACAACGATTGCTTCTCCAAGTCGTTCAATGTGTTCGGCACGCACTGGGCCATCCAGTACAATCGGACGACGGTGCTCACGAATCCCTCCCTGCAGCTGAACCCGACGACAGACCAGCGCGGCACCTACCCCATGGGCATCGACCCCATTTGGCAGTCGGCCACAAATAAGATCATCTTCCTCAACACCTACAAGATGAAGCTATCCATCATATTTGGCGTGCTGCACATGATCTTTGGCGTTTGTCTCTCGGTGGAGAATTTCGTGTACAAAAAGAAGTACTCCTACATTTTCCTGCAGTTCATTCCCCAAGTGGTCTTCCTGCTCATGCTGTTCGGCTACATGGTCTTCATGATGTTCTACAAGTGGGTGCAGTACTCGCCCAGTGCCAAGAACATTGCCGATTCCCCAGGCTGTGCGCCGTCCGTCTTGATCATGTTCATCGATATGATCCTGATGAAGACCGAGGTGCCGGCTGCGGGCTGCATGCCCACCATGTTTCCGGCCCAAAGACAGCTGGAGACCATACTGTTTCTCGTGGGCATCATATGCATACCCTGGCTCCTGCTGGGCGTGCCCATTTGGACGATCATCAAGCGCAAGTATATGGTAAGTCATGCCAAATTTGGGTTTCGATTTGGATCTTTAGAATTTTGTTTGAAAGAGCGACAAGTTTGAATATACGGGCGATACCATCATGGAGACCATTGAGATCTCTGGCAAGGAGGTCATCATAACAGAGGTGGAGCCGCACAAGCAGGCGCCGGGTGGCCAGGAGGAGGAGGAAGAGGAGGAGCCAATGGGCGAAATCTGGATACATCAGGCCATACACACTGTGGAGTATATTCTGAGTACCATCTCCCATACAGCTTCCTATCTGCGTCTGTGGGCTCTGTCTCTGGCCCATGCGGGTGAGTGTATGGGCAAAGGATTTCGAAGGACTTTCCTTAAATCTAAATATTTATAGAGCTGTCCGAGGTCTTGTGGACCATGGTGCTGTCGAAGGCCTTGCAGATGAGCGGCTGGATTGGCTGCATTGCCGTCTTCCTAATCTTCGCCGTCTGGGTGTTCTTCACCATTGCCATCATGGTCATGATGGAGGGTCTGTCCGCCTTTCTGCACACACTGCGTCTGCACTGGGTGGAGTTTATGAGCAAGTTCTACAGCGGCTCTGGCTACGAGTTCCAGCCGTTGAGCTTCAAGGCCATGCTGTCCGAAGAAGACGATGCCTAGCCGCCTCTTATGTAATCTTATTGGGTTACCCCCATTAATTAAAATGAATAGCATACCAAACTAAAGAGGGTGTTTCTTTTTTTTTTTTTTTTTTTTTTTTTTTTGGTATTTTGTGTGTTTTGGGTTGTGGTTCTTTTTCTTGGTCTTGGTGGTTGGCCCACATACGCGACGTGATTGCCGTTGACAGCGTAAAAAAGGTCATTGCATTGAGGGCAGCGCTCAGCGAAAAATTCTTGCCAATTGCAGCAGATTTCTATGGAACTGAACTACTCTGGAATTGAAAACTCTAGGCTGCACAGCTTATTAGTTTCTCCCATTGGCCAGCGTTGCGTCAGTTGTGCAGCCAACGAGCTACGGTGAAGTCGTCTCCATCCACAAATGATGTTGTGGCCAGTGCTATTCGCTCTGCTGGCCGTCTGCCAGGCGGACACCTTGGTGCAGCTGCATGTGAATCGTCCGTACAACGACATCAGCGAGAAGTTCATTAGTTTTGTTGTGCGTCCGGAGGATCTGTACGATGCGCTCGATGGCAAGAATCGCAAGGCAGTGACCAGCATGGCTGCCCTGCTGGGCGATGCCTACGTGAAGTTTGTGGGCGACTTTTACTTTGCCAATAATGCGCCGCAGCGCCTGCGCAATCCCACCAAGATCATATGGAAGGGCTTCAATCGCTGGACACGGTAAGTAACGGGCGAGGATTACTCTGTAGGAGATGCTCCAATTTCCTTGATCCCCCACTCAAGCGCGGTTAACTGGACCATGATTATACCCGTGCCCTATGCGCCCGACGAATGGGACTCGATGCACACGCTGAAGATCCTCAACACCTCCTACATGGTGGGCATCACGGACTGCATCTGGCAGCTGGGCACAGATTTTGGCACATCGCGCGCCAGGGATTACGTGCAGGAGCTGAACACGCTGAAGCTGATGACGGATACGTTTAATCCGTACGTGGACAGCTGGCGTGTGATGGGTGCGGACATCTCAGCGGGCAGCAGCGCCGACGAGACGCGCAAATATGTGGAGATGTCCAAGGATGTGAATGCCGCCTTCGGCTGGACGCAGTGAGTGCCAGTGGGAGAGTATAGAAGGTAATCCCATTTCATATATTTCCAATACATCCACAGACCCGCCAACATGCTGCCCAGCAGCAGCCTGGGAAGCTACATCTACGACAGCGATCCGGCCCTGAAGACCCTGCAGCAACAGCGAGTTCCACTGTGGCTGACGCTGCCGGACGAGCGCAAGGGAGCGCAGTCTATCGAGAAGCGTTTGCTCGGTGATGACACGACGGATGCCCTGCGCTGGGCCCAGACCTTGGGCGATGCGGCCAGCGGCGGCTTCGATGTGGTCTTTAAGCGCATGTCTCTAGAGGATTTCGAGCGGCCGAACTTTAGCTACTATGTCACGGCCGTCTTCAAGAAGGTGATGGGCTCGCGCGTCTTTCCGGCACGCCCCCTCAATGTCTTTGCGCCCACCAACAAGCTCTACACGCACTGTGCGAACGCTGTCTCGGGAGGATTGGCCTTCATGGTGGTCAACACGGAGGAGCAGCCCACCACGATCACCGTGCGCAGCACAAGTCGTCTATCCAACAGCGATATCTGGCAATACGTGCTAACCTCGGAAAATGGACGTATGCGTCTGAACAATGCAAAACTCAGCCTGAACTCCACGCTGCGTCCGCAGGTCATTGCGAAGGATTCCAGCAAGCCGCTGCAGTTGATCACGCCCAGCATGTCGGTGGGCTTCTGGGTGCTGCCCAGCGTCAATCTGGAGCACTGCCAGTACTCCGAGGTCGAAGCAGACAATGTCAGCGCCGAGAGCTCCCCCGATGGCCGCAGTGCCAGTGGCTACAGCTCTGCGGATCGCCTGCTGCAGCGCCTGATCGAGGAGACAGCCGTATCGCGTGGCTCGTTGCAGAGCTCGCTCAATCGCCATCGACGCTTCGTGCTGGACAATCCGGAGCTGGAGGTGCCGGAAACGTTGCTGGGCCGGCTGCTACAGCCGTTCAATCGAGTGCCGCGCCAGAAGCCGGCTGCAGTTGCTCCCGTCAAGCGGCAGGTGCCAATTGAAGCGAAGCCCAAGTCCCAAGCGGTGCGTCCCTGCGAGGCACTCAACTGGCTGCGGAACGTTGTGGAACAGAGCAGGGAGGCACTGCGGCACCGGCGCAGCCGACGAAGTCCCAGCGACTACGCGGGGCCCTTCTTCTATAATCGACATGGCAAGAAGACGACGGTGACCAAGAAGATAACCGAGATACGCAAGCCGGAGCGCAAGGTGAAGCCGCTCTTCGATCTGGCCGAGTTCGACGAGGAGGAGTTCTTCAAGAAAATGGGCGAACAGCCCGAGCCACCGCCGTACAGTCGCCTGCCCGAGGGCGATGTCCATCTGAAGCACATCGAGAGCCCCGACGGCGAGGAGAGCGAAATGCAGCCCGATCCCGAGCCGATTAGATACAAGCAACGCAGAAAATTGAAAGGCAAGCCCTTGAAGATTCTACAACGTTCGCAGGAAGAGGAGGATGTGGAGGAAGTACCTGAAGCGCCCAAAACTCAGGAACGTCAAAAGCTGCGTCTACTGCCAACAGAGTTCTTCGAGGCTTTGCCGGCACCGGTGCCCAAGCAGAGCAAGCGCTTGAACCTGGGCGCCACCTTGAACTCGCTGCTGTTCCCCGAACCCTTCTCCAACAAGGCCTCCGTGAACAAGAACCTTAGCAAGAGTCCAAGCAACAACAGCAAGCAGGTGGAGGAACTGGATCCAGATGTGGACAGCGTGGAGGGCGATAGCAACAGAAAGCGCTCAGCTAAGAGCGGAAATGCGGCCACGGATTTCCTGCAGGCGCAGCGCGAGCTCGGCAAGCACTTCCTCAGCCACATCCATGAGCACAGCCAGCGGGAGCAGCAGTTCCCAATGGGCGACGATAGATTTAGGGAGCAGTCCGACGATCCGGAGCGGGAAGTGGAGCCAGGGAAGGAGGCCAAGCTGCCGCCTGGCCATGACAACGAGGAGGATTACTTCAGTGCCAAGCCAAGACAGCCTGTGCCCGCGCCGAAGCGACTGAAGAAGCCTGCCGATGAGAGCATCACCTCCTGGTGGGATATGCCGGCATTCAGACGTCGTCGTGCCCTGCCCCAGCCCGTCAACTATGCCGACGCGGCTCTCAACTCGAATGTGATCCACAAGGATGACCAGCAGGAGCTGTTGCCCCTGGGACGCTATTCAGTTTACGAGTACAAAGTGGATCTGCCCACGGTGACACCAGCCAACGAACCAGAGAAACCCGACTCCAAAATCATGAAGATCACCAACACAAAAGCTCAAGGCTCCAATTGCCGCAAGATCACCTCGCTGTCCGACAACATTGTCACCACCGTCAAGTCCAAGGTATCCAAGTTTATGAGCATTATCTCACGCCACATGAACGAGTGGTACAACACCCTGGCCAAGCATCTGGATAGCGAGCCAGCACCTTCCCACACTGCCACCGTGCGAGTCGAGAATGCCATTGACAAATGAAAGATTCACATAGTATAAACACATTAATTAGGGTTTTTGTTTGCAAAAAATCTGTGAAACTTGATGTAAATATGTATGTATATACAATACGAGGTTGGCCTGAATAACTTTCCATTCTAATAAAAATATATGTATATTAATTTAAATAAATTAATTTTTATATTGCTTTTAATCTTGTTCAATCTTTAAATTGACAATTTTTCTTAGTCAACTATCGTATAATATTATTTTGCTATTATTTTTGTAAAAATAATACAAACCTAATTAATTTGTTGCTTAAAAAATATATATATTTATTTTATAATTTGAATATACGCTGATAATGAAAATTCTGCCTGTTACATTCATAGAAAGTTTGAAAACAGAACGAACTATTTAAACTCTTCTAGCTACTAAATAGTTTATGTGACGTAAAATTCAATCTTTATGATCCTAAAGCAATTTCTTAATTTTTTCACTCAATTCCATATGCATTTAAAAATGAAATTTTTAGGTATAAAATACTTAAAATACAGTAAATGTCAAAAACTAACTAAAATGATTGAGTATTTAATAATTATCCAAGATAGCTTAAAAGCTTTCGCTCTATGCATTTAGCATACCATTGCAGAGCTTTATTTCAGTTTCTTTTCAACACTTTCTCTCTCGCTCTCTCCTCCCTGCGCTCTATGCAACAGCTAGCGGAAGACCAACCCAAAGAAAAGCCAACGAAAGAAAAAGCCCAGCAGCAGACGCTCTATCTCTCTCTTGCTCTCGACACTGACACTCTCTGCGCTCTCTTTGACGACAGCTTCAAGCTGAGCTTCAACTTGTTTTGCCGGCCAGCAACAAGTGAGCAACAACAACAAGAAGCAGAGCCATAAATAACAACTATTACGGCTATTTGACAATAGCAATGCTCACAGCTTCGATCGCGAGACGCTTTCAGCTGCGCGTCTCTTCAGCCAGTCGCAGAGCGAGCGTTCAAGGCGAAGGTAGTGATTGAGTCGAGTTTTGGATCTGGCATTAATTTCACAGCTAGTTCAAAGTACAAACCTACAGCGTTTGCAATAATATAATATACACTCATAAATATATTGCTCACATATAAATCAAACAGGTGAGTGGCTGACTAGGCACTTTTTTAAAGCATTTTTGTTGCCAAATCGAAGAAGGCAGACAGCAAAAAATCGGGTCAATTCTAGCTCGAAGAAGTTGCAGTTAGGGAGGCATAGGAGCGTAACCAGTTAACCAATACGTACCCAAGTCAGGCAACTTTTTTTTAGTGACGTGGACAGTGAAAAAACACAAGAAGAGACTGAGAAGAGGAAACAACAATAACAACAACAACAACAACAATAACAGAAGCAACAGCAGCAGCAGCTACAAATTTGTGGCTTTCTTTTGCCTACCTGTGTAACGGCAATGAACTTTGCGTTGCTTTGGCCTCGACGAGCGCATCAAAAATCCGTTTCATAATTATTTATCGGGCTCATATGAAAAGTGAAAGTATAAAATTTCCAATATATTATATTGATTTGTAATTTAGTTTCCTTCATAAACAATTTATGTAGTTTCGTTAATGATTTCGTTTGGCAAGTGTTAAATTAGCCAAGTCCAAATTGTGATCTTTCGTTGTCTTCGCTGCTGTTGGTTCCATCTTGAGCTGGTTAAACGAGAAAACGTGTTTTGAATTTCCGATTTGAATGAATATCATTGTATTATATAATCTAATTTGCATAGACATATACATACTCATATACTATACATAATGCTGTCCACAATATTATTTATAGCAATGGGTTTCGTCTTGGCCTGGTTGCCAAGCGATCATTATGTCCGTGATATGTGCATCATAACACTCACAGCGGCCTTTGTGGCCACCTTGCTGAGCATTCGATTCTATTTACGCATTACGGCGGGACGTTGTTTCACTGAGGTAAACACAGACCCCGCCCACTAGCCTCTTCCCCGTTCCTATCCAAATTCGAACGTCCGTCAAATGCTTAGCTATAAATCTACAGAGATCGTGATCTTCAACAAGCGGAAAACAATTAGAAATATAATTAGCTAAGCAAGTGTTTTGGGAGCCTGACAGTTAATAAAACTTGATACAATGTAATTAATACTAACGAAAGATCACATTCTTGAATGAATGAATTACTTAAGTAAAGAATATATTATATGGGAGACACAAATATCATTATAAGGTTTCACAACATTATTGATAATAGAAAATTAATAGAAAATACAAATTATATATTGAAAACAACTTTCTGGTGCTCTGCAGTATTCCAGAACCTTAAATATATACATAGCTGCTCTGGGCATCTTCTTATTTCTTTCTCAGAACATTTTTCTCACTTATGAGCAAAAACTTAAGATCATCGAACTAAGAACCGTTCAACTAATGAGCTTTTCTGTTTTAGGTATAGCTTGGCACTAATCTAGCATCACTTTTGATACATCACAAACTTGTCAAATATGGCTTGAATGCTGTGTACCTAGAAATAATGCAGCTAGAGCACTATAGATTATCTTTATAATATATAATATCATATATACTGAATTTTATAGAGTAGCTTTAGTTTTTCAAATAGTTCACCACGCCGTGACGTAGACTTAATTAGCTTTCGTAATCTGTGCATTAGTAGTTGAGCCGACTCTATTACGGTATTTGTATTACACACGTCGAGAGATCACTTACCTCTAAAATGAGAGTGAGAGAGAGAGAGAGAGAGAGAGAGAGAGAGAGAAGGGGGAAAACAATACACAGGCCTTTTTATGAGCTTCTACGGGGGTCGGCAATTAGATACGCCGTTGATGACCAAGCAGAAAGGAAAAAAACTGAGACGCGTTTAATACCGACCAGAACACTGTCATTACATTGCCTACAAAATTTAAATTAGTATAGGGTATAAGACGGTAATGTCCACTAAACAGCCAACATCACTAACTGTAAAACTTTTATTAGTATATACATATTATAAACATATATAATATATGTATATGTATATTTCAGACTAAAATGGAAGGCAAAACTGTCATTATTACCGGCGCCAACAGCGGCATTGGCAAGGAGACCGCCAAGGATCTGGCAGGACGTGGCGCTAGGATCATCATGGCATGCAGAAACCTGGAAAGAGCAAATGCTGTAAAGGGTAGGGTATACATATGTAAACGTTTAGTAAATTCTCTAATTTCAACTGTTCTCGCTTCAGATGAGATCGTCAARGAGACCAACAACAACAAAGTTGTGGTCAAGAAGCTCGATTTGGGCTCACAGAAATCGGTGCGCGAATTTGCGGCTGATATTGTCAAGACGGAGCCAAAGATCGACGTACTCATTCACAATGCCGGCATGGCCTTGGCCTTCCGCGGCCAGACCAGCGAGGATGGCATCGAGCTGACCATGGCCACCAATCATTATGGGCCCTTCTTGCTGACGCACTTGCTCATCGATGTGCTAAAGAAGAGTGCACCGTCACGCATTGTTATCGTCGCCTCGGAGCTGTATCGCCTCGCTTCGGTCAATGTGAACAAGCTGAATCCGATTGGCACCTTCCCTGCCGCCTACTTGTACTACGTGTCGAAGTTTGCCAACATCTACTTTGCCCGCGAGCTGGCCAAGCGCTTGGAGGGCACCAATGTCACAGTCAACTTTTTGCATCCGGGCATGATTGACTCGGGCATTTGGCGCAATGTGCCCTTCCCCCTCAACATACCCATGATGGCCATCACCAAGGGCTTCTTCAAGACGACCAAGGCGGGCGCCCAGACCACCATCTATCTGGCCACATCCGATGAGGTGGCCAATGTCTCGGGCAAATACTTCATGGACTGCAAGGAGGCGACACTGAATGCTGCCGCTATGGACATGGAAAAGGCACGTCAAATATGGGAGGAGTCTGTGAAGATTGTGAAACTCACGCCCCAGGATCCCAAGATTTAAGCTGTACTCGTTAAAAACATGAAAAAGTTTAACAAAATTTTGATTACTCATATAAAACGTAATTGGGGGAGCATATCATAAGCTTAAGGTTTTCACTTAAATAAATAAATAACAAACTGTTTTTTATAAACGCAAGTAAATAATATTTGTATTTTGTTTAAATATTTGACAATTTACTTTTAAAGCCCTCAAAACTGAACTAAAATTTGAATACAAGAAACTTTTCTGTTAAATGCATTTTTAACAGCGCTTCTGTTAATGGCTGAGCACGGCTGTTAATGCAACAGTCAGTTTGTAAGCTGTTATTAACATTTTTAGTATTTATTGGCTAGGAACTAGTTCCATAGCTGCGCTTTAATGCATTTCTTTTGGAAAATGAACTTTTGTTGTTATTTATTGGCTCTTGCATGATTTCCTTACGCAGGAGTTTCAATGTCAGTTCATGAGAATTAATAAAAACGACAAATCACAGCGTCAATGAGAAACTTGATACATATGCACAAAGGAGAATCACAAAAACGAACAACCGAAAAAAATTGAGATTCTCACACAATGTGCGTGCAGTTCTCACCTGTTGAGGGCGGGCAAGAAAAAAGTAAAATAAAAGGATACACTCAATACTCAAGGGACGACGTGGCTGCTGAGGGTCCTTAATCTGATAAAATTGCAAGCGCATCTCGTTGTCTCAACCGCAGAGGGCTGCCGATGTGCCGGGTGCGATTATTATCGGCGGCTGGTTGACACGTGACTTCTGTATTAGCCCGGCGCCAATGCTGATGATAATGATAATGATTGCCCGCTAATAATATGTTAACGACTATAATTGAAATTTAATATTTATCCAAAGGCTTACAGGATAATCATTTGCGGTTTTTGCGGCAAAACGTGGCCGAACGCAGCTAGGCACTAGGATAATTGCCCATGAATAGATACTCCCCTCCCCCTCCGAATCTATCTATGATCTACCCCCCTGCAGCGTCTGCTGTGTGAAATTGTCTTCGGCCCATTTGTTTGCGGAAGTGATTCTCTAATAAAAAGTAAACAACGTAAAACAGTAGCTGACAACGTGACATTTTATTGCTACATTGCCTGGTCGATGCCACGCCCATACACCCCTGTCCACCCCTCAGCACCCGTTCCTTCGCCCTTTGCCTATCGCCGCTCGCTCAGGAACTTTAGCCATTGATAAGGGACGTGGAAACCCTCTGGAAAGTATCAGCTTACAATTTTAATTTGGCGCGCTTCACTCAAGTGTGCTCTCATAGTAGTATCCACAAACATATTTCGGAGTTCCAGTTTTGACTGTAATTCAAGTCGTTCGTTGGGGCGGCCTGTGCACCAGGACCTCATGTCCTGCACAGTTGCTCAAACTGTCGCCTGGCTTGGCCGGGCCTGGCTCGGCCTCGCCGTCTTTCGGTTAGCAATAAGTCGCAGTTTAATAAGCTGGCTTAGGTTTTTAATAAGAAATGGGCTATGAGCCGCACTCGAGGTTCGATTCGAGTCCAGCTGTCAGCCCAACTACTGTGTCCTGCGTCCTCCAACTGTCAGCCGGACATCGATACTTTACACAGCCCGAATGACGTGCGCCGCACTAGCCGAAAGGCTGACAATTGCTCAAATTCATTTTCAAATTTATTTCAAGTCAAAAGAGTACTTATATGAGAATATCTTTATATTGTATATTGTTTTCTTTACTCGAATATTAAAGAAGTTGTCGATACTCTTTAATTTCCCTAGACTTTTGTACCACTTGAGAAGTCTAATTGAATGTAGTAATATTAATTTACGAAACTTATTTGCGTTTTTCTTCTCCCTCTAGCGCCCTCTAGCGTTGCCTAGTGATTCTAACTCTATGAATTTTATGCTTCGTGCATATGTTTTAAATAAGAGTATATTAGTTTTTGCATTTCGCATCTCTGACTTGATATGTAGGCATGTCTATGAAAATTAGAACTTATTTATTTTAATAT